CTTTCTTTACTTTTCTTCCTTTCTCTTCCTTCCTTTTACTTTCATGCTATATAGATCAGGCTGGTCTCAAACCTGAGTACTAGAATTACAGGTGCTCACCCACTCCTGGCAGTTCTGTTTCAAGGTTCTGGATGGGGTTCAGAGCTTTAGACCTTATACTCACCCAAGTTCCTATTGTCAACACCCCATAGGCTGCTGGCCCAGAGGCCGCCATAGAATTGGGAGGACAGGGGACCCCATTGGACCTTGCACAAGCCAGGGCCGTGCAGAGGCGATTCAGAACCACCAAGCCCAGCCTCCTGATGCTACATTAGAAATTCTTCAACATCTGCCAGTACTCGGGTTCACTAACCCCAAAATGCTTTCCATGGAGGCTCTGGGTTCTAAGATCCTATAATATTCATGTGAAAGTGCAGCGTTCTGGAGACAAGTTTCTGTGAATCTACAGATTTGGGGAAATCACTTCCACAGGCAGGGTTTCCTCCTGTCTGGCTCAGTATCACGCTCTCCCAGTCCAGGATAGAGACCTCCATAACAGGTACTTGATTACACACGGGAATGCAGTGAGTGCATAAATGGACAAGTTCCAGGATACACAAGCCTCATTTGCATCTGTGGGTCTAGACCCTGAGCTTGAGCTTGGAATGGATGTTCCTGGAGTCAGATGGGCTAGGGGCAAATGCCCAGCCACCCTTCTGTGCCTCACCTGTCCAGGGCCCACATAGCTGCAGAGAGCATCAGCATGACAGCCACCTCGAGTGTCTAGCCCACACTTATCAATGGCCATGCAGATGCGGCCATCTCCACTCCAGCCTTTGTGGCAAATGCACTGGTGGGTGCCCAGGTCCCCAGGGACACACTCAGCCTGTACAAGTTATGAATAAGTTATGAATAAGTGGGACTCAGGGGCATAGGGCTGTAGGTGGAAACCAAAGAGCCCTATCCCCATCGCTGAGTCAGAACTTCAGGGAAAGAGTAAGAGGGAACTAACGTTCTCTGAACAGCCACCGCGGTCTGGGTGGGAGCAGGGATTGCTGCGTGTGCAGGAGTAGCCATCACCTTCAAAACCATCAAGGCAGACACACCTGGGGCAGGGAAGGAGAGGCCCACTTGAGTCTGGGGAAGAGGCTGGAGGCTGAACAGGCAGTGTGATTACAGGCAGTGTGATTACAGGCAGTGTATAGAGCAGGCCAGAGGCCTCACCTGGCAACACCCTCCTGACTGATGCAGCGAGCATGCAGGTGACAGAGCTGGGCCAGCCCTGTGGGTCCACAGTCTGCCATGGACTCATTGCAGAAGCGGCCTCGGAAGCCAGGAGCACATGTGCCATGCTGGCACACACCCCCACTGCCTGGACGGTTGTCACAGAGGCCATGGACACAGCCACAGTCTGTAGGTAGGGGAGGACAGCAAAGAAACTGAGGCAGGAAGCAGGGCTGGTTGGGAACCAGGATTGGTTTTATAAAGTAAGGGTGGGGACTGGCAATGGGCAGCTCTAATAGACTTCACTTCAGGGTCCCCAAATCAGAGGTCATTCCAAACTCGATGAACAGGCGTATATATTGTAAGGGGTGTATTTGGGGCTTTTAGTCACACCATTCTAGCTTTTCTGCCCCTAATACTACCAACAGGAAGTCTCCAATGTATCTTGTCTAACTCCTACTTGCTTTAGATTCAAACACAGGAAGGGAATTTCCTGGCATGGGTGAAGAAGACAGCATCCATCTGTTCCCTAATCTGGCTCTACTCCCTCTGGCCTACCTCATTCCTTTTCAGACTGTGTTCCCCTTCCTGGGAGCCCCAGCCCTTTCTAGAACTACTTTCTCCAGGGAGGTAGCCTGGGCCAGGACCACTCACCTTCCTGGCACTGTTCTCCATGCTTGTTAGGGTTGGCGCAGATATGGCAGGCAATGCCCTTGTAGTCTGGGAAGCAGAGGCAAGCCCCATTGCCCTGGATCCCATCACTGCACTGGAAGATGGCAGGAAACAGGATCAACCACAGAAATGGTTCACCACATCCCCTCTCCTAGCACCTCCCTCCTTGGTTGGTTCTGGGCTCCTGAGACCTCACCCTGGAAGGGACTTCCAAAGCCACTGATTCCTCCAGAGTAGCCACTAAAAGGCACCTGGCCCTGGAGGTTTCACACGTAACCCAGAAATACATTAAGTCCTGCATTCTTCCACAGCAGGTGCTAAACTAGCACTGACGCCACAAAGTGGGAAGCACAGAATGCTAAAGGATACTGGCAGGTAGTTGCTTAGAAAACAGATGCAAAAATAAATCTATCAACGTAATCTTTCTTTTTAATTTTAAAAATGTATTTATTTCTATTTTATGTGTATGAGTATTTTGCATGCATGTATGTAAGTATGTATTGCATCTGTGTCATGCAATGCCTGTGGAAGCTGGAAGAGGGCATTGAATCCCCTGGAACTGGAGTTACAGAAAGTTGTTAGCTGCCATATGGGTGCTGGGAACTGAACCAGGTCCTCTGCAAGGGCAGCCAGTGCTCTTAACCACTGAGCCATATCTTCAATCCCAGCAGTAAGTATGCCCCAAAAGTAATTATTTCTAACAAAATAATTTGGTCCAACTTCCATTTGGAAGTGGGGAAGCTGAGCCAAGAGAAAGAAGGCCTAGTTCTGATGTATACTGCCAGCTAGGGAAGGCACCCACCCACCTTCCTCACACCTTGGCGGGGGGGGGGGCAACTCACATTGCCTTTGCCATAGCAGGGGTTAGTAAAGCCCCCAGGACACTGTGCACAGTCAGGCCCAAAAAATCCTTTGCAACAGCCTCGTTTCTGTAAGAGACAGAGCACTCCCTGTACCTTCCAGGCATGCCAACCCCTACCCGGGGTACGTCTTCTTGACTCCATCTCTAGAGCATGGGAATGGGTAGAGACCCTCAGTGGCACCTCCTCCACCATTAGGATGTGGCATAGGGCTAGGGGAGTAGTACTAGGCAGAGTGCTTGCCTACCATATGGAGGTCCTGGGTTCTATTCCCAGAAATGCCACTAAAAAAAACCCCAACCAAACCAAACCAAAACAAACAGATACAAAACTTGGGAACTCCAAACAAGAAGTGTCCAGGGAGCACATGCCCACCCGCCCAGGCTCACTGTGATGGTCTGGTTGCAGTGGTGGGCACAGCCCTTCTTCAGCATATTCAGCCCATCTGGATCATGAGTGTAGACACACTCCTTGGGGAAGATGTCCTACAGCATGCCAGGCAAGACCAGTCAACAGAGGGGGTGCAGGGCCAGCCCCTTTGCCAGACAGCCTAGCTCAATGCTCCCACCCTTAGCAGGGCTAGGAAGTGTTGAACCAAGTGTGGTCCAGTCTCCCAAGCCCTATTCCCCACTACAGCCTGGGTAGGTTTGGGGGACTGACAAGAGGAAGACCTGAGAGCTGGGGTAAGGGTGCTCACCAGCTTCACACTACTAGGGGGACATGTACTGGCGTTCAAGGCATGGCAGTCCACACAGGAACCCTAGATAGGGCAAGGCGGGGCCGAGGGAGAAGAAGGAGGGTCAGACATCATCAGAGACATTTATCAACCCTGAGAAAGTGGCTCTGAGCAGAGAGCTGAAGGTTGAGGAAGAGCCAATCACAGGGAGGCCAGGGAAAGTGTTGCAAGGAGATGGGGCCTGTAAGAGGCAGTTAGGGATACAAGACTCCACTCATGTAGGGAGGGATTAAGGGGATCCCCTGTGAGTGGGCTACTAATTGTCACAGCAAGTTTTGATGGAGCAAGACTAGGACCCTCTTCTGTCACCTTGTCTCTTCACCTATACCTACTGCCCTGGCCCCACAAGGCCCTCGGCAGAAGCCAAACTGCTGCAGCACTGTGCTCTGAACTGCACTGTGACTTTCAGAACTGTGAGCCAAAATAAATCTCTTTCTCTGTAAATTACCCAGTCTCAGGTATTCTATTACAGCAACAGAACATAATGCCTGTTTTGGGAGACAGTCACCTGCCATGTGCAAGAAGTGAGGGGTCCTGGACACAGGGTGAGGTCAAGGTACAGTACAGAGCTCACCAGGACAATCTTGTACTGCTCCTCATCACAGTGCTTAGGTAAGATGGGCAGGATGGTGGGAGGAAGCAGGATGCCCTCCAGCATGTGGATCACACCATTGGCGGCCAGCACATCCACTCTCCTCACAGGGATGGCCTCAGGTCCCAGCAGGATGCGCCCCTGAAGCACAGACCCCATGTGCCATCCCAGCCCAGTAGGCCCCAGAGGGCCCTTGCTGTGCTTTGTCTGCTGTGGTTTTACCTTGCTTCCTGGGAGTCCTCCCTACCTGTAGGAGATATGCCTGGTTCCCTAGGGCCTGGCTGGGGGCACTTAGTATAGTGTCCTAACCACTATGGGACTTGGAGCACACAGGCAGCCATGAATGAGGCCAGCTGACAGCCAGCCATCACCAGCTCCTGCACTGTTCAGCTATTCCTGGATCTTACCTCCTCAGAGATGTTTACAGCCAGGACCTGGTTGGCCATGGTGAGGACTCGCCCCTTAGAGATGAGCTTCTCAACTGTCAGCTGGGCCAGGAGATAGTGGTTTTAGGTTGGGCACTACCCACACCCTGTCCAGGTGATATACAGTGATTCTCTGGGGCCCCAGAAGTGAAGAAGAGAGGAAGAAGAAATGGGGACCCCCAAGAGGATCAAACTCTGCAGGAGTCCCTGCAGCAGGGGGACATATGAAGGAGGAGGCCCTCTCACCTGGCCGTGACTATAGATGTGGTATCGTACCAGCTCCTGCAGCTTGGAAAGGCCCTGAGGGGAAAAGGAGTTGGTTCCTGGAGGTTTATGGGGGAGAGTGGTGCCCTGGCAACCCCCACCCTCAGCCCCAGATTCTCATGGAGCTTACCGCTGTGAAGAGGTAGATCAGACGGCCATCTCGCAGACTGTCCACAGCCTCATTGCTTGGGGCAAAAACCGTGAAGGGCCCAGGTCCATCCAGAATGGAGGGAAGGCCGCAGTTCTGTGGCAGGAGGAGGCAGGCTTAGGTGGTTCCCTGTCTCAGAGCCCTACCTGGTCCCTGCTACCCTTGGCCAGCAGAGAACTCTGCTGGTGCTGATTAAGAGGGAGACATGGGCAATGGGTCCATGCTGTCCCAGAGCCTCAGGATTGTGATGGGTGAATTCTAGGAAAGGGGTTTGATAGATTCTGGGGCAATGAACTGTTCTGCTTCGGAAGTGCAGCTGGCTAGGACCCCCTCCGCAAAGCTTACCTCCAGGATAGTTTCAAATCGGCTGAAGGCCTCATTAGAAGCAAGGATCTGGCCAACAGTTTTCTGTCGAAAGGGAGGGTGTAATAGCTACAGGTTAGGTTGAGGCCACTTCAGCCCAGGAAGATGGAGCCTAACCTCCACAATCCAGAACAGCCTCATCCCTGGACTCAGCATGCTTAGATGTCCCCCAACATAATGGTAGAAAGAAGAGGGCGTTGGCTCACCTTGGGGTCCCCTGGTAGCGTGGGTGGGGGCTGCCACCGCAAGGCAGTGGTCACATGGAAGACCCCATTGGCTGCTATGTAATTGGTCCTGTGAATGCTGAATGTCTGCTGGGGCTGGTCTTTGTACTTGTAGGTATATTTCTAATGAGACAGACACAGGGCTATACCCCACAGGCCAGCCCTCTGTCCCGAGGACCCTTCCTACTATCACAGCTGTGTCATACACCTGCTATTCCTCTGACCCCCAGGCTGAGGTCCCTCTCATACCAAGTGGTTGAAAGTGACAGTGATCTCTTGGCCGGCCAGTGTCCACCACCTGCGTGTATTTGAGGGCCCCACATTCTCCAGGATGTGCTGCCCTGCGATGATATGTTGTCTGCAGAGCTGCTGGGCCAGTGTTGCCTGCAGATGCACAAGAACAGGGTGCTAGGTAAGCCCTGGCAGGCCAGCCCCTCTTTGTGCCTCCCCTGCCTGAGTCATGGAGGGAGAAAAAGGCCCCCTAGGCCTCTGTTCCCAGATTCTGTAGAAAGACTGTCCCAAGGGCGGCATCAGGGATGGGGAAGCCATGGCCTGCTCTCAGGTGGGAAGGGCTCACATTCATGGTCCTGGAGGAGACAGAGGAGACGGATAAGATGGATGGCACCAGCACGGTGAATGGGCCTGCTGTGGTAAGGATCTCCTGGCAGCCTTGCTCTGTGGGGTAGGGAGAGTGTCAGAATGGAAATGGGGAGACACTGGGAGGATGGGGCTAGATGTCCAGTGTGGGGAGGGGGAAGGGGCATTATTACTGGGATCAGTTTCCACCCCATCCTAGCCCCACCTATCCTATTCTGCTTTTACAGCCCTTGAACAAAGAAACAGGAGTCTGTGCAGAGACTAGGTCTCCCTCTTTCCAAGCTATCTGGGTCCAAAGGGGCAGAATCACAGGCAGGCCAAGGGGGCACACACCGAACATGGCAATGGCCATTCTCAGCCTCAGGAGCACCAGGCCTATTTGACTGGCCCTCTGCACCTCGTGGAGCAGGTGTCCATAGCAGGCACGTCCATCCCCCACCTCACCGTCCTTGCACACACAGCTGAGGACCAAGGGGGAACTGGTTAGGGAGGGGATAGGACATTTCCCTGTCTTCCCCGAGCCCTCCCTACAGGGTCTTAAAAGAAGGTACACAGGAGAATGCACTGCCCAGCCCTCCTTCCTTGTTCTGTGCCTCTGCCCCTCAGGTCCCTTTGCCTACCTGGTCTTCCCATCAGGGGTCTGCTGGCAGGTGGCTGACTTGTCACAGGAATGGAGCAGGCAGAGGGCAAAGCAGCCCGCAGAGGCATTGCCATTAATGCTGAACAGGCCTGGCAGACATGAGCAGACGGCCTGGCCAAATGGTAGGGGCAGGAGGAAACAGTATATTCATTCGTGAGAATTCAGGAGAACCACTCTCATATACTTGCTTCACACAGTCCTGCTGCCGCGCCTCGCCCCCCCCCCCAAGAACAGGATTGGCATCCTCCTCACATCTTACAAGCAGGACACCTGGGGTACTCAGAGGGCCTGTGACTTGCCCGGGGTCTCACAGCCAGAGTGAGTAGGTGGCCTGTGAGGCAGATATCCCAGCTCACCTTGCCTGGCTTCTGGTATAGACACAAGGTGGAGTTGCTGGGGCAGCCACCAAAGTTGATGGTACATGGGTCCTGGGGCAGACACACCTTCCCATCACCATGGTAGTTCTCAGGGCAATGACACTGAGCCTGCCCCTTGGAACTCACTGAGCATCGGGCCAATGGGGAGCAAGGAGATGGCTGGCAGGGGTCAGAAGCTGCCAGGGAGAGAAAGAGTGAGTTGAGCCCCAGGAGCCTTCTCATCTTCGTGGCTTCCTCCAGGGTGGCCCAGACCTAGAAGACAGGCCCTCTGCTCCTCTTGGGAACAGGTTTCTCTCCCTGTAGATGGCCAGACTGCATGTGCTGGGACCAAAGGTTTCCCTCCCACTCCCTCTGCTCTTCAAGGTGGAGTCCTCTGCCTCTAGATCACAGGCTTACCTAGACAAATATTGCCCTGCTGGGTGTAGCCAGGCAGGCACTTGCAAGTGGGTGCCTCTGCGGAGCACTGGGAGTTCTGGGGGCATTTCTGGTCCTGGCAGACCTGGAGCTCTGAGCAGAGGAGAGATCATGGTGAAGGCCCAAGCCCTGGGCTGGGGAGGAGCACAAGGCACTCTGTTCTGCTTGCTGTGTGACTCCAAAAAGGTGCCTCCCCTCTCTGAGCCTCCAGACGGTGGATGTCTAGGGTGACACCCCCTGTACCCTAGCAGGCTACAGGCTATAGGTAGAGGCCCTGCAGAGGCTCAGACCCTGTGTTCATCCAGTTGACCTCCCCTGCTCTGATCACAGAGAACCTGCTGTCCTAGACAGCATTACTCACCTTGGTCACAGCGGGGGCCGGTGTATCCAGCAAAGCACAGGCAGCTCCCATTTCCCAGTGGCCCATGGCTGCACAGGCCATGCACACAGCTACACACTGAGAGGGACATACAGAGACAAGTGGGACCCCAGCCTCACCAAGGTACGTACAGGGACATCAAGTTCCTGCCATTTGTATGTTTATAATGTAGCTCTGACGGGAATAACCTTGAGAGCCCAGTGCTGTGATGTAGGACACAGTTTGAGGAGGAAGCTCAGAGAGGGTAGGCAGCAAGCAGAGGTGGGGTGGGGTGGGGGGTGAAGAGGCATTATGCAGGGCTTCCTGGAAGAGGCTTCTGAGAGCAGCAAGTGCAAAAGCCTGGGGGCAGAAGAAAGCAAGGCCAGCATCCTCCCAGAGGAAAGCAGTGAGGGGTTGGGAGGGGTCTGCAGAGACAGCTGGGGCTGGTCCTGTCAGGAGGCACTGCCAGCTCACCTGACTGGCAGTCAGGCCCAAATCTCTTGGGGTCTCTGCACTCCTGGCAGGCTGAGCCACTGAAGTTTTCCTGTGAATGTACTAAGTCAGTGGGGCTCCTCCAAGCTCCCCATCCCACCCCTGCCCAGCCCTTACCTGGCACACACAGGTCCCATTTCCAGCCATGCCATCCAGGCAGGTCCCGTGGCCATTGCATGGGGTTTCAGCACCTCCGGGGCACTCTGTGGATCCCAAGAACTAAACTCTATTCCCAGAACCTTCCCCTCACCTCAGCTCTGAGCCCTCCCCTAGATAGCCAGGGCTAGGTGGCCCATGCTTCAGAAGTTCTCCGTGAGTGGTCACTGGGTAAACAAATTGAGGGGATGCAGGCAGCTTCTCAGATGAGGCGCTGGTGGCTGGGGCAGGGTGAGGGGAACAATGTGGGCTCCTCCTCCATACCATAGCACTGGGATCCCCAGTAGCCCGGGCAGCAGGCCTTCTGTACCACATCCTTCGAGCACTCCTGGCTGCAGCCACTTAAGGACACCAAAGAGCCTCCCAGCTCTACCTCATAGCTAGGAACACAGGGTAGACAGGTCAGGTAGGGGGTACCTGTGGGCCTTCACTCCATCCTTCTCACATTGAATTCCAGGAATCTTATCCCACTTCCCTCCACTTGGCCAGAGCTGAGCATAGGGCCTGGTTCACAGTAAGTGCCCAGTAAATACCCTCTTCCTCTTCCCTACCTGTGCCTACTACTCTATAGGGCACAACAGGTATGTGGATAAATGTGTCCCCCAGAGTCCTCCTCTGGAGGCCTGTAGGGTTCATCTGGATCCCCTCCACCCTCCTGGAAGTGGGCAAGATGTGGGGGGCGGCACATACCGACAGTCCTGGAATATCTTTTCTGGGAAATACCGAAGCCAGCCTGGGGGACATGCCCGCTTCTTGATGGCCGCACATGGAGTACAGGGTTTATGAGTGATCAACTTGGTCTTTACATCACATCGTTTAGAGTGTACCTGGGCCATGGGCAGAGCACACAGTGAGGAGCCTGGACCCCATTCCAGTCCTGACTCCATGCTGATTGAGCAAGGCCTCAGTTTCCCATCTGTCTGATGGGAATGAGCAAGGTCAGGGAAGGCCCTAAGAAACCTTCCTGTCAGTTGTTAATGGCACATCCTGTCCTTGTAGCCACAGGTTGAAAGCCCTCTTGTCTTTAATCTTCCTACAAGAGAATCATTTCCATCTCAAGTGAAGCCCAGGTAGCCCTTGCTCAAAGTGGCACAGGCCCGCAACCTGGATCCACAGCCTAGAGCTCATTATTGCCTTTCTGATACAAAGACAAGTCTCTGTTTGCAAGAATATAGTGACTCCATCCTCGAATCCCTAACACTAGGGTAGAGCACAAGCTTCCAGCCAAGCACCAATCGTGCCCTGAGCAGAAGGGTCTGGCCTGGTGTGCTTGGGCTGGGCAGTCACTGGTCAAAAAGCTCTGACTCTGGTCCTAGCCCAAGACCCTACCCACAGACAGGGACCCAGGGTCTGGGTGATGACAGGCAATGGAGGCAGCTGAGAGAACAGAGAGGACCCAGGTGCTTTATTTCTGCTGCCGAGATAAAATATCCTGACCAAAAGCAACTTAAGGAAGGAAAGGTTTATTTTAGCTCATAATTTCAGGTTACAGTCATCCATCATGGCAGAGAAGTCAGGTGACGGGAACTTAAAATAGCTAGTGACATCACATCCACGATCAAGAACAGAGAAATAAACACATGTATGCTTCTTAGCATTCAGCTTGCTCTCTGCATTTATACAGTCCAGGAGCCCCTGCCTAGGGAATGGTGCTGCCCACAATAGCCTGAATCTTCTCACACCAATTAAGAATCAAGACAGTCTCCCACAGACATGCCTACAGGCCAATCTGATCTAGATAATCCCTCATTGAAACTCCTTTCCCAGGCAATTCTAGGTTATGGCAAGTTGTCAATTAAAACTACCCTAGAGAGGATGGGCTTGAGAGGTGGTTCAGAGCTTAAGAGCACTGGTTGTTCTTGCAGAGGACCTGGGTTCAGTTCCCAGCACCCACACGGCATGTAAAAACTGTTCATAACTCCAGTTCCAGGGCATTTTATGCCTTCTTCTGATCTCCATAGGTATTGCATGCATGGGTGCAGGCAAAACACATACACGTAAAAAAAATAATAATAAAATAAAAGAATTTTTTTTTGTTTTGTCATTTTGAAGCAGG